GCCTCAGGCGGCCCCGCTGCTCCGCAGCCCCCGAAAAGCCCAATTTAACTGGGAAAACGTTCTGGTTTCCGACTCGGGAGTCGGAGACGTCAAACTGCTCCCAGCTCCCACCGGCCCTGAGCAGCCCCAGCCGGCCTTTGAGACGCCTCCCTGCCCGTGCGTCCTCTTTCTCTCCCGTTTTAAACCCGGAAGGTCTCCGGGGCAGGTCTAAGAGGCAGCATCCCCCTCGGATGCTGCTGCATGGGAAAGCCTCACTAGCCCCGCCCCCCCCCCCCCCCCTTCAGATGCTGGGAGCATCCCACCACGGTTGGGGAAACTGAGGCTGCGCCCCGTCCTGGCTCCCTACGGTAGCTCCAATAAGAAGCCGAGGAGCGAGGGGATACGCGATGGCTCCCCGAAGGTGCCAAGGGTGGGAAAGGCCGTCCTGCCGCTGACCCTGACGGGCTTAAGGGAAGCTGTTAAGTTGGTTTCCAGGAAATTTGCAGTCAGGCACCCCTCCCGCAGCCGCAGAGGAGCCTGCGAGAGGCAGCCAGGGAGGAATCAGCTAGATAAAACTAATCCCCTTAGCAAAGGAAAAATAAATAAAAAAAAAAACACCCCAGAGGAAAACCTGCCCCTGCCTGGGAACGGCCACAAATACAGGAAAATTAACCCCATATCCAGTTTTTCCTTCTTTCGAAGGAGTGATGGGGAAGAAGAGCCGCCAGCCCGGTTATTTAGCTTGTTCGCCTCCCACTCCTCCCGTCGCCTGACGAGGCTGAGGTTCAAGGACCAGGAAACCCAGCGCGAGCCGGCACATCCGAAGGGAACGTGGTTCACCTGCGGCAAACTTTCAAGCCAGGATCCCAAAGGACGCTGCTGAGGTTAATTAAAGTTTGCACAATCCCTTGGGGGTTAGATAAGTTAGCGCTGCAACCCACTTCCCAGCTGGGCAAAGCGAAGGGCAGGAGGAGTTTGGGGACGTATGCGACGTCCCCCCAGGTGGGCGGCGGAGCAGGTAAAGCTGCTCCGTGTCAAGAACGGGAAGACAAATCCTATTTCGGGGGCTATTTTCAAGGCCCTGACGTGGACACAAACCACAGCTGTTGGTCCGGGTAACTTTCTTCCCACGGCCGAGTCCCCTTTTCTGCCCGATCCAAAGCAAAAAGACGCACGATGCAAACGCGCCCCAGGCTACCGTCCTAAACTCTTTTCCCGTATAGTCTCAAATTCTGGGTAAAGCCTTTGGGTTTGAAAAAAAAAAAAAAAAAAAAAAAAAAAAAAATCACAGCTTTCCAAGAATTTTTGCATCCACGGTGGAAGCATCCAGCTCGGAAACCCAGCTGCTTCTCCCCGCTCCCCTGCAGCGAAGCCGAGCTCCGTGCTCTCGCTGGAGGCTGCGCCAACCCCAGCTTTGCCGTACCGGCAGGATTCACAGGCATTCGTTTAAAAATAACCCAGAGAAATCCAGTTGTGGAGGCGGCTGTTT